TCCTGCCCCGCTACAGCTCTCAGGTATAGCGCAAAACACGCGCACACATAGACCGAGAGGGGAGAGAGGCGCAGAAACCCACCGCACAGGTAAGAGGGGAACACCACACAGCGCACAGACACACACCAAATCTTTTCTCTTTTTGTGTGTGTGTGGGTGTGTGTGTGTGTGGGTGTGTGTGTGGGGGTGTGTGTGAGGGGGTAGAGGTTAAAAAAAAAGGAGGAAAAACAAAAGAGTCTGTACAGTAGGGAGGAGGTTTCTCGTTGGGTGAGGACAGGACTCTTGCCCTCCTGGGCAGCTCGGGGTCATGGCGCCGGGCAGCCAGGGAGGCAAGGCAGGGCAGGCAAGGCAGGGAGGCAGGGCAGGGAGGCAGGGAGGCAGGGCAAGGCAGGGCAGGGCAAGGCAGGGAGGCGAGGCAAGGCAAGGCAGGGCAGGGAGGGCAGGGAGGCAGGGCAGGGCAGGGCAAGGCAGGGCAGGGAGGCAGGGCAAGGCAGGGCAAGGAGGCAAGGCAAGGCAGGCAGGGCAGGGCAGGCAGGACGTGTCCGGAGCCTGGCGCAATGTGTGTGTGTGTCCCCATGTTAGCACTCTCTGCACAGGGCTTCTTTTTAATCTCTTTAATAGTTATATATGTGGGGTCCCTCTCCCTCCCTCACCCAACCGCGGGCTCCCGAGTCATGTCATGTCCCTCCCTCCCTCTCTCCCTCCCTCCCTCTCCCCCCTCGACCTCACCTCCTCCTCTTTCATGTTCAGAGGGGTATTAATGAGTGCAATGAGGAAGTGGAGTGGGGCTTTGGCGAGTTCTTCCTCTGAGTGTGAGTGTGTGGTGTGAGTGAGTGAGTGAGTGTGTGTGGAGTCACAGCGCCTCCGCAGGAGCCCAGTCAGTGAGACCAGAGAAACGTGAGACACACAGAGAGAGAGAGAGAGGGGGAGAGGAAAAACACTCACTGCCTTAAAATAGATTGGGATTGGTTTGACTGCACTCCAGTTGACCAGAGCTTCTCTCTTTCACAGATCCGCTTGAATCTGCGAGTTGCATTGATTGCACTTCATTGCAAACACCTTTCCAAGTCACGCTGTGATGTGGAAGTGGTAATGTTTATTATTTCTGCTCAGTAGTCAGCTTGTGTGACTTTTTTTTAAAAAAAACTTTCCTTTTCTATCCCGCAGTTTTTATACTTGTTTCAAAACGTTGACCGAAAAAAAATGGTGAGAAGCAATTGGACCTCACCTCCTCACAGCGTCCCCCTCTCTTGCTGGTTTAATTTTTGCTGCAAAGTTATACTTTTATGATATGATTGTGTTTTTCTATGCGTTTTGAGCAATTTGCTTACACAACACCTCTCAACATTCATAACAAAGGAAGGCAGTTTCATGGAAGAAGCCCCCACCCCCCCACACTTTGTGTCACCAGTCCCCTTGAGAGAAAACAAATGGTTATTTGTGAGACATTATATTGCTGTGCAAATTGGCTGCTGTGCAAAGCAGCCAATAAACTTTTATACAAAACTTGTGAAGCGCTTTGAGACATTTTGATATGATAGGGAGCTTTGTCGAATGGAAGGATTATTTTAACATGCTTTAAAGATATTTTTTGTGAACAGAAACCTGTCATTTTTCAATGCTAGTTGAAAAAAGAAGAAAACGTCTTTATTCTGACAAGATTTTTTAAATATAAAAGTGAATAAGATTGGATTCAGCTCAGCCTTTTGTCTCCATCACCTCAATAGATTAAGATCTCGGGTACAGATTATTCCCTTAAACCCCAGGCAAAATTAGGCAAAATTCTGGGGAAACTTCTTTCAAATCGCTGTTTGAATGTATTGCATTGTACTTGTTTGTTCAATTTACTTTACTTATTTACTTTTAACTGTAGGTAGACAATGAACACTGGAGATCAAAATGACGAAGCTGAGTCCAGAACACCATTCATCATTAATAACTCCACTCTGGATAGGAAAAAACACATGGAAGGGGAAATACATGGTAAAGACCTGAATATCACTTTTAAATATTTGGAGCTTTTAGATTTAATAAAATCTTATTCTATTGAATCTCCAGAAATACTGTTGTGTTAAAGTGGAAGCCTTGTACCTATTATAGACACGTGGGTCAAATCAAAGGAAACTCAAAAGTTTCAGATAATCTCAGTGATGTAAGCTTATTTAACAACAAATGCACATGAACAACATGAGGGCAAGGTTTATGTCAGTGTCTTAGATTTTGCAGCACAAACTGTATCTTATTAGTGATATAAGTGAGAACTGATAACTTCTATTGTTTTCTGCACTAAAATTGTTTGTCCCATTGATTGCTAGACTGGCCAGCGCTTTAGTCACACTTTTGTACCCAGCATTCCTAAAAACCTGCATGATTTCCAATAGCAAACAGGACTAGAGATACTTTGTTCACTAAGTATTTTTTGCTCATTGCAATCTTGGCTGCAAGGTAAGGTTATCTCACTGGATGTCAGCCAGCACCAGATCCATGATCTACAAGGAGGAATTTGAGACATTTGGGAAGACTGAATGTCATGACTATAAATTTACACAGAAGCAGCCTTGAATGTCTGTTTAGTGCACACACCTAGCTATCAGTTCAACCTCCAAGGTTAAAAACGATTGATTTGGGGTATCTCTCTTGACATTGCAAAGGAGAGGATATTCGATGTTTGCAGTCACTTGAATGTATTTTTTGTAGTTAACTGAAAAGTTTACTGTGTTTTAGTAATTTTCCTAGGTTTTTCACCCTTCTGTCCTGAAGGCAGCTCTGTACACTCATCCTGGGGTACAGTAAGGGCAACCCTTTCAGATCTTGTTCAGATCGAGTCCTGTAGCTCAGTGGTTAGAACACTTGCTTTGCAAGTGAGAGGATCTGGCTTTGATTCCCAGCAGGGCAAAACATTGGGCAAGTTTTCTTACTCCACATGCCTGTTTTTCCTAGCAGTAAGTAGGAACCCAGTTTTTAGTTGACTGGTGGATTGCTTTTCCGAGGATAATAATTCCTTCCAAAAAAAATAATAATAATATGGTCATTCAATCCATGACTGCCTGTGGGACACTGCTGTGCGCAATTGGCTGCGGCGTTTTGACCATAAAATGCACAGTCAATTCACTTTACAGTATATTCTGTGAAGTGCTTCGGGACGTCTCGAAGATGTGATAAAGCGGTATATCAAATGCTAAGATTATTATTATTAATGTGTGAGCCCAAACTGTGACGTTGCATTGGGAACTTTGAACGAGGGCCATCACAGCCAAGCTTGTCTTGTCTTCATCTTCTATCCACAAAAGTGTACCTCCAGCAAGGACCTATAGAGAGCAAATAGGAGCAGGAACCCTGAATAAAGGTCCAGGGTGGTGCAATTTCCCATTGAGCCATTAGAAAAGGCCTTGGCACCTGGCTTCTCAGTTTAACATAAGCTTTTCAGAATCTTGAGTAGACAACATTTCCAACAGGTATAATAATAATTCTTGCATTTGATATGGCGTCTTATAACGTTGTTGAGTGCTTCATACAATATATTGTAAAGTGAAATAATATCTATCTACAAAAACTGGGATTTTGTAGAAATCAAGAGTTCCTTCCAATAATACAAAAATACACTTTAGAAACATAGGATCACAGGAACAGGAGGCTATTCAGACCATTGAGCCTGTTCCACCAGTTTGTTACATTTTGGCAGATTGTCCTTTCTCCCTCATATCTCTTAATACCTCTACTATCCAAGTCTGTCAATCTCCTAAACATATTGGTCACCAAGGGACCAGGGCATAACTTTTAGTTGTAGTAAATATTTAATGCACTGAGAACTCTTCTGAATTATTTCTGCTTTATCTACCGTAATGTAATAAATTTAGATTTATTGTAAAAGTCAGCCATCGTTTTCTTCATAGGAAGATGTAAAGAGCAGATGGAAACCTCAGTGCAGTAATGAATGCAACTGAGAAATCGTATGGCATGATGGTGGTTTTTTCTTGAAAAATTGGATTTGATGTTTTGTTCTTTCCCTTTCAGTGATGGAAGTTATTATTGATAAGGTCAAAGAAGAAATAAATATCCAAGAGGACTCTAAAGACATTCCCAGTCCAGCTAGACCTGCAGAGACGAGCGGGTTAGAATTACTGTACACCAGCATACAGGATGTAGCTAAACGAAAGCCGGTGCAGAATGGTTCCGGCGACATGACAACAGAGCACGAGGGTTCCTTCAACCACAAAAGAAGAAGAATTGCCTCTGAGGTAAATACTGCTCACAGTGTTTAAAATTGTAAAGTTCGCTCATCTTGGAACAATGCTTTGGTATCCTGCGTTACAAAGAAAACAGTTCTGCATTTTTAATTTTATGCTAAGGAACTTGAAAGAGGATGTCACTTGAGTGGTGTACTGTGTGTTAGAGTACTTGGGAACATAGGAGGAAGAGGATGGCAGATCTTTTAATCTCATTTCTCCACATTTTCTCCATGTTCCTTAATGCCCTCATTTAATAACAAATATATATAACAGCGTTGTTTTCAATTTATTTATCTAAAAATAGCACCCTTGTATCTCATTTGTTTCCAAGCAAATTATAGAAACAAAAGAACATTGAAATGTATGTTCAGACCATTATCCAGGACACATCTAGAGGAATTTCAATAACTTTCTCGCCCTAAGCCAACTCCAAACCCTATTCTCTCTGCTGCGTGAGGAGTTGACCCAGTTCCCTTTTGGATCCTTCATTGGGATTATTTGTGCCTGCATGACCTTGCAGCCTATTCCATACAAGTCTAGAAATGATTCCGTCACTTGAACCCCTGACTTCTAGCATATTACCGTGTCCTCTGCCTCTCCTGTGCTGACGTCTCCACATCCACTTTGTGATTCCCATCATCATTTTTAAAACCTTAGATCATGTCTCCCTCTTTCTCCCAATTGCTTCCAATGAGCAGCAGGGGTTGCAGGGAGCTGAGGCACAGGAAAAATTGTCCCGTTTCTCCACCTAGCCTCAAATGGCGGGAAGATGGCGGCTCCACTCAGAAGGTCAGCCACCTTGTGGTGAGTTTGTAAAACAAACCTTCCTTCCTAAGTGTACACAAAGGTGCTATTTTCAGATAAGTACAACATAAAAGGGGCCTTTTCTTTCACCTTGAAAGAAAGCTTTCAAGTGTCCAAACACTTTATATTTAATTTGCAGAAACAAAATTTCTTCAGTGTCTATTTCTGAGACGTACTGTAATTCATTTGTAAATATTTATGTTTCTATATTGATTAAAAAAAGGGATATCAGTGCTTGGAAATGAGACCCAGTGTCCTCATCTACCATTGCTATGTTAGGTGGAGCACAGCCATCTGTAGGGTAAAGTTCCCTTTGCTTTGCCCCCGAAAAAAATGCCTTAGACCTAATCGGATATTAACATTGCCTACTGCATTAGCATGAATTGTTCCACTTCTTGCACCAGTCACCTTTCTGAACAAGAGTCATGAGCAGTATTGGGTGTAGGCTCTATACTCATTTTGAGATTGGCATGAGATTGAAACTGACAAAGAGATGAGACTTTCATTTCATTAGTCGGGATGGGACTAATTTTTCTTCCCCTCCCCTCCCGCTGAAACAGAATTCAGAGTTTATCATTATCAATTATCATCTGAAGTATCTTAGTAAAATCAAATGATATGATGCGAGCTCACTGCTTAGGCTGACACCCCTGTGCAGTGCTGAGAAAGTGCTGCATTGTCAGGGATGAGACATTAAACTGAGCTCCCGTCTTTCTGTTCAGATGAACGTTAAAGATCCCATGACACATTTCAAATGAAGAAGGGAGTTTCTCTCATTGTCTTGGTAATCAATGTTCCTCATAAATTGGTAATTCACTGTTTGTGGGATATTGCTATGCACAAATTGTTTGCCGCTTTGTTCTACAAATAAGCAATCAATACACCTTACAGCAACTACCCTGAAGCACTTTGAAATGGTTTGACATTGTATATCAAATGCATGGATTATTTTTATTATTTTATTGTTATATGGACAAACTCCTTGCCTTCTTCACCAACATATTGTATTTTTTAAAAAACGGAGTAAACTGCATAAATACTTGCTTACTTTGAATCAAATAAATCAATAAAGGAACAGGGCTTGTCTATATGCACTGGATATGATAGCCAATATGGGTTTATGAAGGGGAGGTCTTGCCAATCTAATTTACTGGTTTTCTTTGAAGGTGTGACAAGGGAGCTTGATAAGAGTAAGGCTGTGGATGTTGTATATCTGGATTTCAGTAAGGCCTTTGATACAGTTCCTCTTGAGAGGCTGGTACTGAAAGTAAAGAAAGCGGGCATCAGTGGAAATATATTACAATGGATACACAATTGGTTGACTGGAAGAACCCAGAGGGTGGTGAAGCAGGGAATGTCATCAGACTGGGAAGATGCTACCAGTGGAGTTCGACAAGGGTCTGTTTTGGGACCTCTTTTGTTTTAATATTTTTATAAATAATCTGGAACTAGGAATCGCAAGCACAGTGGCTAAATTTGCAAATGACACCAAGCTAATGAAGGTGGTAGATTGCGAAGCTGACCAAGATAGGTTACAGGAGGATTTGAACATACTTGGGAATTGGGCAGATCGGTGGCAGATGAAATTCAATGTGGAGAAATGTAAAGTACTTCACATGGGGACAAAAAATCCTGGAAGGGACTGTTATTTGAACGGAAGGAAAATAATATATATGGAAAATGTAAAGGACCTGGGGGTCCTGATTGACAATAAATTGAAGCTCTCCTAACAATGCTCTATGGCAAAGCAGATGTTGGGATGTATCAAAAGATCAATAGCAAGCCGAAATAGTGAGGTAATCCTGCCACTGTATAAACCATTGGTGAGACCAATGGTGAGACCATACTGTGTACAGTTCTGGTCGCCGTAGTACGAAAAGGATATTGGAGAAATCGAGAAGATACAGACGAGGGCAACCAAAATGATTGAGGGAATGGAAGAGGACTGGACTATGAAGAGCGACTAAGTAAATTGGGCATTTTCATGCTGAAAAAGGAGATTGAGAGGCGACATGATTGCTGCCTTTAAGATTCTAAAGGGGCAAGATAATATAGACAGGCTATTTCAACTTGTCCAGAATAGTAAAACCAGAGGACACAGTCTGCAATTGAAGTGGGGTAAATTCAGAACAAATCTACACAAACACTATTTCAGTGAGTGAATAGTCATCCTGTGGCACAGACTCCCTATAATAATAATAATAATAATAATAATAATAATAATAATCCTTGCATTTGATATGGCGCTTTTCATGTCGGGAGGACGTCCCAAAGCGCTTCACAGAGCACACTGTAAAATGAATTGACTGTATATTTGTGGGTGAACGCGGCAGCCAATTGCGCACAGCAGTGTCCCACAAACAGCCGTAGATTGAAAATGACCAATTTATTATTGTTTTTGGTTTTGGAGGGATTATAATAGGCGTGTGGAGTAAGGAAACTTGCCCAAGGTTTCGCCCTCTGCCTGGAATTGAACTCAGGTCTCTCACTTGCAAAGCGAGTGCTCTAACCACTGAGCTACAGGACTCCCTAGGAAGATAGTTGAAATAGAAAGTGTTGATTCTTTTAAACACAGGTTAGATAGTTTTATTTTAGGAAATAACATTATGGGATACATAGGTAGTTTGGGACATATGTGCATGCGACCTGGAAGGCGAACAAGATGGACCTTGGTCTTTTTTCGTCTAGCAGTTCTTATGTTCTTATGATACAGCTGTAGCAATCGGCATGTGATAGACACCCATCATTTTTTTCAATTGCCACTAGTAGCCACCAAATGTTGAGAAAAGTCACACAAAAGAGGTGTTAATATTGCAAAACAAAGGAGAGGAAGGAATTCCCCCCCACCCCCACCCTTTGTTGGAATTTCCCTCCCTTTGTTTTGCATTATTAATATCTCTTTTCCCCAGTTTCGTTGGATTGCCCCCCTTTGTTTTGCATCATTAACAGCTCTTTAACCCATCATCCTCTGTCCTCTACCCCATTTTCTCATTTGTCTTCCTTGTCCTGCCTCCCCCCTCTCTGTTGGTCTTTAAAAGCCTCTCCCAACATGCCCTAGTTCTGATGAAGGGTCGTGGACCCGAAACGTTGACTTACTTTCCTTTCTTCATAGATGCTGCCTGACCTGCTGGGTGTTCCCAGTGATTTTTGTTTTTTTATGAAATTGATTGTGTCAGTTTATTGAAGGCCAGTGTACCTAATGACCATAATTGTGGGAGCACAATGTGGAACCCATATCTGGTGCATACAGGCAAGTCATGCTTCTGTGCAGCATCTATTTGTAGACCCAAAAAGGATACAAGGACTCTTCATATGAAGTTGGGGCACAGGGATGAAGCTTGTGCACTCAAATTTATACAGCAGGAGAAGCCGGAATGGGTTCCGTCTATTGACCTGATTCAGAATATGGAAAACTGGCAATTATATGCACGGATCAATGCTTGTAGAGCAATTGGGAGATTCTTTCCCCCTCTCTCTCTCTGATGATCCTGGGCTTGCTTGTTTAATTTCCATGTACAGTGTTTGAAGTCTGCTTGTACACAACAACAACAACAAAATTACATTTATAGAGCGCCTTGCATGTTGGGAGGACGTCCCAAAGCACTGAACAGTCAGGTGTTGGGGCCCGAGCATGGGGGAGGAGTGGTGTAGGGGTGAGGGAAGGCAGAGAGGTGGGAGGGAGACCAAAGGCACGGTCAAAGAGAAGGGCCTTGAGATCAGCCTTGAAGGAGGCAAGGGAGGAAGCGAGGTGAAGGGATCGTGAGGTGGAGTTACAGAGTGTGGGGGCAGAGAGGCTGAAAGCCCGGCCACCGATGGTAGGGCGGGTCGGTGGGAGACATGGAGCAGGCTGGAGCCTGATGAACAGAGGGAGCGAGCAGGTTGGTAGGGAGTCAGCAGGTCAGAGAGGTAGGAGGGGGCAAGGCCATGGATGGCCTTAAAGATGAGGATGAGGATCTTGAACTCGATCCTCTGGGGGATGGGGAGCCAGTGGAGTCGGGCGAGGGTGGGAGTGATGGGGTCACGGAGCCTGGTGCGTGAGAGTACACAAGCTGTAGAGTTTTGGATGACTTGCAGCTTGTGCAGTGAAGAGTTGGGAAGGCCGATGAGGAGGGAGTTCCCGTAATCAAGTCTTGAGGTGACAAATGCATGGGTGAGGGTTTGGGCAGCCTGAGGGGTGAGGCAGTGGTGGAGTCTGGCAATATTGCGGAGATGGTGGTAGGCAGTGCCAGTCATGGCGCGGATGTGGGGGAGAAAGGACAGTTCAGGGTCAAACAAGTCACCCAGGTTCCTGACCGGCTTAGTGAGGTTGAGTGTGCAGTCGTGGAGGCTGATGCTGCCAGCACCTGAGCTGCGGAGGCACTGGCACGAGCCAATCAGGAGGGCCTCGGTCTTGCTGACATTGAGTTGGAGAAAGTTGGCCCTCGTCCAGGACTTGATGTCGTACAGGCAGTCGGTCAGGACACCATTAGTCCTGGAGTTGAGGGTGGAGGCAGAGAGTTTGAGTTGGGTGTCATCCGCATACATGTGGAAGCTTATCCCATGTCTGCGGATGATGTCACCAAGGCAGTGCATGTAGAGGGTGAAGAGGAGGGGACTGAGGACAGAGCCCTGAGGAACACCGGACGAGACAGTGCGGGGGCTGGAGGAGAAGCCGTTTGCCGCGATGAAGTGGAGGCAGTGTGAAAGGGAGGACCTGAACCAGTCAAGGACAGAACCTTGAAGGTTGAGGTGGGAGGAGAGGCGGTGGAGGAGGATTGAGTAGGCTATGGTATTAAAGGCAGCGGAGAGGTCGAGGAGGACGAGGAGGCAGAGGGAGCCCTGGTCACACATGGTCAGGATGTTGTTTGTGACCTTGACCAGATCTGTTTTTGTGCTGTGGGCAGCACGGAAACCCAATTGGAGGGGTTCCTGGAGGGAGTGAGAGGAGAGGAAAGAGCGAAGCTGGGAGGCAACGGCTCTCTCAAGGACCTTGGATAGGAAGGGAAGACTTGAGATGGGCCGGTAGCTGGATAGCTGTGATGGGTCGAGGGAAGGTTTCTTCAAAGTGGGGGTGGGGGTGATAGTGGCTGTTTTGAGGGGGGAAGGAACAGTGCCAGATGACAGGGAGAGGTTAGTGGAAGTTGGGAGGGCAGTGGCAGCTGAGAGGATTCCCTCAATTTTGGACTCGAGGAAGTCCAGCATTTTCTCGCAGTGAGAGTCAGAGGAAAGTATCTGCGAGGTGTGTCAGGGAGGGCAGAGGAGCCGGTTGGTGGTGGAGAACAGGAGCCTGGGGTTGCCCTTTGCCTCCAGGATTAACCTGGAGTAGAAGGATGATTTGGCTGAGGCGAGAGTGGAGCGGTAGTTCTTGATGAGGTACAGCCAAATGTGTGGTGGACCATTAGACCGAATTTGAGCCAAGTGCGTTCGGCAGACCGCACCTGGCCCTTAAGCAAGCGGAGGTGGCTGGTGAACCAGGGTGAGGATCGGGAATAGGAGGCAGTTCGGGAGGTGAGGGGGACAAGGACGTCGAGTGTGGTGGAGAGGGTGCTGTGGAGAAGAGTGAGTGCAGCGAGTGGGTGGTTGCGAGAGGTGGGCTAGACGGGGAGGTATGACAGCTTCTTTGATGTGACACACTGACTCAGGCAATGTAAATGGCGGTGTTGAGATCGATTAAAGAAAAGGATGAAACTAATTCAGAAAGATATTTAAGATTGGTGCAGTCACAAATGAACAGGCTTTAGCACATAATATTCTTTGCTGTGAATTGAGAGAAACCCGCTCTTCATCAGAATTTGGTTTTTTTCTGTCGGTCATTGTAACTCGGCTGGACGTAATTACCACTCTTGCCTCCGGCAGCTCGTCTATCTGTTGTTTCTTGTTTCAATTTGTGTTCAGCTCTTCTCACACACAGTCCCATTGCTTTAGCCTCCCGCGGGGTCTTTTCCTGGCTGAGACCCATTCCATCACTTTCCTTCTCTTTTCCAGGATATCAGTCTTCAGCCACACGCTGCTTGTCACATTTCTCTGACTACAATCTGTCATGTGCCATCGGATAAAAGCAGCAATTGTTTTGATTGTGTTTTGGGGGGAAGTAACGTGCAGGGTATGCAAACTGATATGTCATTAGTGAGTCCAGCAGGCACCTGGATGTGGGAAGAGCCAGGACACTGGAATGCCTTGGACACTGATCCCCTGCCAGATCCCAGGAGCCTGCTTTGACAGCAGCCCAACTGCACAGAAATTGGAAATAAAATTGGTATCTAAGCAGAGTTTGAGTGGGTCAGAGCAAGGCATATCCACATAGCTACAGTGTTCCCTCATTGAAATTTTCGTACATTAAATCACATCAATGAGATTTTCCTTTATATAAAGGTAACAAAGGATTGCTACTTCTAGTGATCAATGTGTGATAGTGCCCCCTCCTCCAAATAACTCTGCCATTGCATACATGTCCTAGGATGGGGACATTACATTTTAAAGCAAATTTAGCAAACTAACTTAACTTAATAATCTTTCGTTGCATTATTAAGATGCATCTCCTGCATTGAAAGTGTGCATGTTTTAACATTTTATGGGTGTAAGTCTGAAGAACATAGACTCTGTAGTATCTTTTCAGAGAAACGCAGAGTGTGCTGGCAGAGCTGAGGACGGCAGCGTGGGTTTGGCGGTGGAAGGCAAGGAGCTGGCCGAGGAGAGGATGGTGCCCTCGTACCGGAAGCCACTGTATGGTATCTCTCACAAGATATCGGACCGGAGAAGTGTCCAGGCTGCCGATCAGCCGGGGCCACTCGAGGGTCCTGAGAGAAGCTACGTCAACAATTTCTTTCAGCAGCGAGACAGCCCCAAGAATTACTCAGGCGTTCTGGTGTCTCATGCCTCTGGCAGCGATCCCACTCTCTACTCGCTGATCCACAAGATGCTCTTCACCCTGAACACCCTGAACTCCAGCATGATGCAGCTGCACAGCAAGATCGACCTCCTGTCACTGGAGGTGAGCCGGGTCAAGAAGCACGTGAATCCCGGGGAGTCTGTGGTAGAGTTCCTGCCGCCCCCCGAGTACCAGCTGAACAATGCGGAGCTGAAGCAGGTGCTGGAGCAGAGCTCCTCGGCCGGGGACTTTGCCTGCCGGCTCCTGGTGCAGCTCTTCCCAGAACTCTTCACTGAGGATGAGGTGGGAGGTGGCTGTCAAGCCTGTGGCTCGGTGTCCAAGAGGAAGTTGGATTCGCTGCACCTGCAGCTGCTGCGTAACTATGTGGAGGTGTGTTACCCTGCGGCCAAGAGCAGCGGGCTCTGGCAGGTCGAGTGCTTGCCCCAGATCAGCGACCTCTTCAACAGGTTCTGGGCCCAGAAGGAGATGGAGAACAGCCACCAGAACGTCGAAGCAGGCAACTTTTATGAAGCTGAACGTGTGGCAGAGCGGAACTACGTGGACGAGAGCGCACAGGACGAGGGGCTGGACTCCTCCAGCAGCGTGGCCTCGGACCTGGTGCCGGACATCCAGGAGATCGGCGAGTACCTGGAGGAGGCCGGGTCTCCCGGGGAGTTCTCGGTGCTACTGCTCCACAGGCTGTTCCCGGAGCTCTTCGACCTGAGGCGGCTGGCGGCCCAACACACCTGCTACGGGGCCAATGAGAAGCAGGCGCTTGATACCCAGAGGCTGCAGTTGATCCGCAAGTACACGGAGATCTACTTCCCGGAGGTGCAAGCTGACGAGGCCTGGCTCCAGCAGTGCGTCCACACGCTGGACGAGGAGCTGGCCAGCATCGGGCTGGACGGTAGCGAGACCGAGGCATTTCCTGGCGACAGCTATTGCTCCTCCTCCAACGCCTCCTCCGCGCTCGGGAGTAACGATGGCGCCGACCTGGACAAGTCGACGAGGAAGTCCAAGAAGATCTGGCTCATCCCCGTGGATTTCAACTGCGTCATGATCACCCCCCCGGACTTCGAAGTGCCTTGCCCGAGCACGTGCTGGGTAAACACCAGCTCAAGAACATTTACGAGAGCAGCCTGTCCATCGGGAACTTTGCCTCCCGGCTGCTGGTGAAGCTGTTCCCGGAGCTCTTCACTACGGAAAACCTGAGGAAGCAATACAACTGCAGCGGCTCACTGGGCAAGAAGCCGCTCGATCCGGTGCGGTTAAAGCTGATCCGGCACTACGTGCAGCTGATGTACTCCAGGGCCAAGTGTGACAAGGTGTGGAATCAGGAGTTTGTGTCCAAACTGGACGAGCGGTGCCGGCGCAGGGACACGGAGCAGAGGCGTGTGTATCAGCAGCAGAGGAAGAAGTGCACGGTCAGCACGGACAGGGAGGAGCCCACAACCTCAAACTTACAGCCCGAGCTCCCCAAAAAGGAGCTGGTGCTGCTCGCGACGGAAAAGGCCGACCGGTATAACAAGAACTTCAGCAAGCTGGAACTCAGCAACGTGACCATCCCCCAGCTCAATTTCCCGGTTCCGTCCAAACACCTCCTGACCACCAAGGAGCTGAAGGAGATCGTGCAGGACAGCTTGTCCATCGGCAACTTTGCGGCACGGCTTCTCGTCAGGATCTTTCCCGAACTGTTCACTTCTGAAAATCTCCGGCTGCAGTACAACCACTCAGGGGCGTGTAACAAGAAGCAGCTGGATCCCGTCCGGCTCCGGCTGATTCGACACTACGTGGAAGCGGTTTATCCTCGAGCCAGGAGCGACCAGGTCTGGCACCTGGAGTGCATCCCGAGCATCGACGAGAGGTGCCGGCGGCCAGACAGGAGGAAGTCAAAGCTACAGGGAAAGGCTGAGAATAAAAAAAATGGACGAGTCTCTTAGCCATCGGTATAAATAACTGAGATAACCTTTAAAGGGGTTTATCATGTATTTGGCATTATTATATAAGTTTATCTCAGAGGATAGACGAGCTTTAAAATAATTTTTTTAAAAAAAAGTAAAATATAGGAATTCTCTAAGGTACCAATTGAAAAAGAATACTTTTGCAGTTCTCATCTGTCGCTTTGTGCTGTGCCATTTGATAGTCCAATTTCAAGAGTTGAACTCGTGGTTTGAAAGTACTGGAGATACGTCTGCAAAGGAGTGAGGGAAAGGTTTGAACACCATTTGCCTAATTTTCGCTAATTACTGTCGGACCATTCTTCTACAGAGAATTTGAGAGACAATTGGTAGCATTTAGAAGGTCATTGCGGATTCCTGGCTTTACAGACTACTGACGTGAGAAAGTATCCAAAAGCTGGAGGTGGGGAATGAGGAAATACAATATGTGGCACATTTAAGAGTCTCAACTTCACCTGTCACCACAGTTTCTTTGCTTCACTGATCGTATCTTGTGCTTAATTATATAAAAACTCTGTCAACATCTGATTCGTAATGCCATCAAAATTGGTGCTAAACCTCCTTAAAATGAGTGAATTGGAGTAGAGGTTTTCTTTTGAGATTGTTCAAATTAAATTCTGTTACAGTTACATAGCTAAAGTTTGTCTTTATTCTTTAGCCTCTTGAACTGTGGTGACATTTTCTTTAACATGTGAGACACTTTTTTTTTGTGATAGATCCTTTTAAATTAGCTATAAAGTGGATGTTACAGAAGGGCGTTGCCATGTGTTTGCTTCATGCTGTTACTTCTGAGATCTGGGTTCACATCGAGTACAGACAGAAGAAACAGACTTGCTTCTTATGGTATCCACACATAAGCCCTGGTCTAGAGGGTAAGTAGGTGACTTGAACCTGGAGTTTGCTTACACACCGACTGCTCACTGGGAGAGGTGTGACAGCAGCAAGAGGTGTCCATCCTTCATGGAAGTTCTGCTTCTATTCCTCACCCCTGAACCCCTACCTACTCCACACGCTGTGGAGAAAGGCAAACCCATACCTTACTGCCTGCTAGTACTTTACCTTAGTGCTCAAACTGTGAACAAATAAAACTTTATAGTAAAGTGGTTTAGTGGGATTGCTGACGTCCATTTTCAGGGTGAGATGCATACGTTATCTTCTTACCAAATTTGTTTTTACCAGATTATTCTTGTGAGAGCAGAGTATCTTTTTACATAGAGATTGTAAGAATCCATTGTTTCATGCAGCTTACAGTAAGTGAGAGAATCTGGGCTCCTCTTTGTGGAGCAAAAAACTCACACAAGGTTTTTTTCTGCAACGCAGCAGCAGAAGGCTTCAAGTGATGGTGGTAGCGGGGTGGGGGGAGTGGATAGGGGAAGCTGGGGGTGGGGGCAGGAAATGGGGCCGAGTGGCAGTCCTGAACTTGGGTCTCTTGCGAACCAAACTAGTCAATGACCAACTTCAAGGGACTTTGGTGTCCTTTAAACTTTAAGAAAAAATTCTAACATAGAAAAAAATATTTTGAAGAAGAGTTTACTAAATACTGTGATTGTTATGCTGCTTGGAATTTTCCCAGACTACTTTGTAGGTTTATATAGTAGTGGAAATATGTTTGCTTGAAATGAGGTATGAAGAATGAACCAATTAAAAAAAAATACAAAATTATTACATACCAAAGTTAACAACTGTATACCAACATTTGTTAGAATTAAAGCAAAATAGTGCAGATGCTGGAAATCTGAAATAAAAACAGAAGTTGCTGGGAACACTCAGCAACTCACGCAGCATCTGTAGAGACAGGAAAATCAGTTAATGTTTCAGGTCGATGACCTTTCGTCAGAACTGTTCTGATGAAGGATTATCGACCTGAAATGTTTGTTACAACTAAATGGAAAATGTTTAAAAATGCTTTCGCTATATTAAAAAATATTACAATTGGAATGAAATTTCATTTGTTCATCTGATTTCCTCCGCCGATTTGAGATTTTCAATTCGATATAACTTCGGGCTTCAGTGAGATTGAATTTTATTTCAACACATTGCTTCGTATGTTAATTGATTTCAACAAACCTGTGTAAATAACGTTTTTAATAGTTTTGATCCATATTAACACACAAGTGTATGAACAAGTACAATTTAATTTGAATGTTTTCTTTGGGATCTGTTAATGTTGATGCCAAAGTTTTTCATCTGAGCGGAGAAATGAGTATGAGAATGCAACACCTTCACCTCAACGTTAAGATAAACTGCTGTTTTCTTTGTAGAACTCATTAAACTCTTGTATTATTGGTAGCATTTTGTGTGGGGCATTTTGTAAGTTTGCCTGGCTCAGTGTGTAGCACTCTCACCACTGAATCAGAAGGTTGTAAGCACAAGCTCCACATCAGGACCTCAACCTTCATGGTTCTGTTCTTGAATGGTTCAGATCCTACTTCTCACACCGTCCACTTTATCTCCACAAATGGCTTCTCCTCTAGTCCCCACACCGTCTTGTGCGGTGTTCCTCAGAGCTCTCGCCTTGGTCCCCTCCTCTTCAATATCTATGGGCTCCCTCTTGGTGACATCATGCGCAGACATGGGGTCAACATGTATGTTGATGACACCCAACTCTGCCTCCACCCTCGACTCCAGACCCACTGCTGTACTGACAGAATGTCTGTCAGACACCAAGTCCTGAATGAGAGCTAATATTCTACAGCTGAACATCAACAAGACGGAGGCTCTCCTGATTGGCTCCCGTCAGCACCTCCACACCTCAGGCGCCATCAGCATCACCATCCATGGATGCACACTCCACCTCACTGAGCCCGTCTGGAATCTTGGGGTCTTGTTTAACCCTCAAATGACCTTTCTACCCCAATCCATACCATGACCTGCTCTGCCGTTCCTTACCTCTGCAACATCGCCCGGCTCCGCCACTGTCTCAGGCCGCCGAGACCCTCATACACGGTTTCATAACATCCAGGCTCGATTATGCAATCTCCTTGCTGTCGGCCTCCCGCCTCCTCCTTCCATAGGCTGCAGATCATCCAGAATTCTGCATCCCGTGTCCTCTCCTGCAATTGGCTCCGCGACCCCATCACTCCCATCCTCGCCCGACTCTACTGGCTTCCCATCACACAGAGGATACAGTTCAAGATCCTGGTCCTCACTTTCAAAGCCCTCCATGGCATTACTTACCTCTGCGCCTCCTAACTCCCTACCAACCTGCCCATTCCCTCTGCTAAACGGCCTCCGGCCTGCTTCATGTCCCCGGTCTCGCCCGTTACTCCATTGGCAGCGGGCTTTCAGCCACTGTACCCCCACCCTCTGGAACTCCATCCCCAGTCCCTCCACCTCGCCCCCTCCCTTGCCTCCTTCAAGATCGGTCTCAAGATCCTCTTCGATCGTGCCTTTGGTCACCCTCCTTTCCCCCCACCCCCCAATCCCAACTCTCAGGTCGGGTCCATAGCACTGAATGTTCAGCGCCTTGGGACGCCCTCCCAATATGAAAGGCGCGATACAAATATAATTTTATTGTTGTTGAATTCATATACTTCAGGCTGACACTTAAATTGAGATCCCATCTGCCTGTTCAGGTGGACGTTAAAGATCCCATGACACTATTTGAAAAGAGAAGAGAGTTTTTCCTGGTGTTCTAGCAAACAAACCTTCAAATAAAATTGGTTAATCAATTGGCTGCTGCGTTTTGCCTACAAAATAACCAGTCATTCCACTTCACAGTAACTTAAGCATTTGGAGACCTCATCCTGAGATGAAAGGATTATTATTGTTGTGGCATTGGTTATCTTGCATTTTGTTGCAAAACCTAGATACACATTGGATAAATTTCAACTCATCTTATTTGCTACAACTGCAACATTGTATTAAAACAAATCCAAAACAAATCAGTATATGAATCTGTAAACATTTTTTACATGTTTTATAACCCTAAAATACTTACTGGCTGGGCAACATTTGCACAACAATATGGATTAAGTTAATTTGAACCAAATATAATTCCAAATTAAGACTATGATCTTGCAGTTTTAAAAGGCCAAATTTAGATGGGATTTGGGGTTTCAGATTATGTTTGCAATGCTGCATTAAGGGGGAAAATTTCCATCTGCTCTAGATTTATGCAGTTTATGCAACATTTCAGACATCCACAATTTGGCACATTTTTAAATACAGTCTTAATTTTGAAGTGGGTTTTCTGTAGGTTTTTACAAAATATGCAACACAGTTAAGTAGAATCCAAAATATTGCCAAATTTTGCATAATCAAAAATGTTTCAAAAGAAACTAGAATAAATATAGTCCCCTTATGTCTGTTAGCTGCCCGTGTGGGCAGAGGTGTCGTTTGCATCTCATTTCCAAGCATTTCCACAAACTGACACAGCTATGATTTGTAATGTTTACAGCAACCACATAATTCACTCCAGTGCTTGGCCTTATACATAAAGGATTTGGATTCGCTATAGGGGCTGCAAATCAAAGTTTGCAGATGAGATCAAACCTTGTAGATTTCTGAGGTTGATACCAGGGTTGGCGGTTACTCCTATCAGGAGAGACTGGGTAGGTTGGGCCTTTTTTCACCAGAGAAGAGACGTTTAAGGGGAGAACTAATAAAAGTCTTTAAAATTATAAAAGGGTTTGACAAGGTTACATAAAAACATAAGAAATAGGAGCAGAAGTAGGCCATTCAGCCCCTTGAACCTGCCCCACCATTTAGTAAGATCATGGCTGATCTTCTAACCTAATTCCATTTGCCTGGCTTATCCCTTAATTCCTTTAGTTTTTAAAAATCTATCGATCTCAGTCTTGAATATGTTCAATGACTGAGCATCCACAGCCTTCTGTGGTACAGAATTCCATAAATTCACTACCCCTCTGAGTGAAGAAATGTTTTCTCAACTCAGTTCTAAAGGGCTGACCTTTAATCCTGAGACTACGACCCCCAGTTTTAGATTCTCCAACCAGGGGAAACAGTTTCACAATATCTACCCTATCAAGGCCCTTAAGAATTGTATAATCACCTTTAATAGCTTGCTGCACCTGCATACTATCTTTCTGTGATTGGTGTACAAGGACACTCTGAATCCCTCTGAATGCTAGCACTATCTAGTCTCTCCCCTCTAGAAAATAATCAGTTTTTCTATTTTTTCTACCAGGTGAATAACTTCACACTTTCCACATTACACACCTTCTGCTATCTTCTTGCCCACTCACTTGACCTGTCTATATCCCTTTGCATCCTCCTTGTGTCCTCCTCACAGCTTACTTTCCCACCTAGCTTTGTATCGTCCATGAATTTAGATACATTAAGCTCTATTTCCTCATCTAAGTCATTGATGTAGACTGTAAACAGTTGAGGCCCAAGCACTGATCCTTGTGGCACTCCACTAGTCACAACCTGCCAGTCTGAGAAGGACCCGTCTATTCCTACTCTCTGTTTTCTGCCTGTTAACCACTCTTTGATCCATGCTAATATATTACTCTAATTCCATGAGCCCTAATCTTATGTAACAACCTTTTACGTGGCACCTTGTCGAATGCCTTCTGAAAATCCAAGTACACTATATCCACTGGGTCCCCCCATCTACCCACAAATATACAGT